TAAGTGTCCGAGTTTGTTACATTTGCGACACTCAAGACGAGGTTTTCTACAATCACGTGAAAACTGTCCTTTCATTCTACAATTAAAACAAATTGAATCGTATTTTTGATTTTTAGTATGACTGTTATCAAATTTAAGTTACAAAAATTCGACTTTACATGATTACTGTTTTTATAAATAATAGAAATATGTGTAAACGATTTATTGTCAAGTTTATTTTTATCTCGTTCATTGCCAATCATATTTAAATAAGCATATAACATAATATTTAAATCTGCATGACGTGCAGACGTTACTGTACCATCAATGACTGCATCTATAAGACATTCGTCAGAAACATGTAACTCAAGAGCTCTTAATTTAGAGAGTTTTTGAAAACAGTTATCGTCTAAATTTTGACCCTGGTTGGTCTCATAATTTACAGCGTCCCTAAGAAATTTAGAAAAAGGAATGGACTTACTAAATTGCTCGATCATATTATGTTTTATTTCGATCCAAGAAACATCATATTTTTCGTCATACCACTGTACTGAAATTCCACGAAATCGCCCGGCTATTAGACACATAATAGAATCGTAATTCCATTTATATCGTTCTGTAAGCTTTTCTATACGTTGTATTCATCTTCTACTACTATTTCATCTTTTATTGGGACAAATAAAGGAATTAAAAATTCATTCCCAGAATAAGCAGACGTCGAGGGTTTGTTACATAAGTCTTTTTTTCAATCGTTTAAAAGCCATCTTCAAACTACTTTCGTTACGTGAGTTTTCTTTCCGTTTTCGTTTTCTATCCCTATTGGCCATATTCACTTAAACCGGCACTAAGTTTTATCCTTGAAACCACAATATATGAGAACTGCGTAAAAACTTGCGATAAAAAAAAGTGTTTCTAACGGTTTTTCACTGTTAATTTTCAAGTTCATATCCCACTTCTGACAATTTGTAAGAAACAATTGAATAATTTCCCTTAAAACAATAAAACAACCTATTTTTAAATCCCAAATGGAAATTTTATTAACACATCTAATTTGCCAAATAACTACTGTAATACAACTGAGTGTATCGAACAACTCGAAAAGATCACACCACTGTTGAAAAACCGGTCGATAACAACGAACGCTTTTTCTAGGAATTAGAATACCATGGGCGTGCGGAATTTCTTTTACATGAAATTTCTTTAATACAAAATAGGGGGCTCTTATATTTATTTTTTTAATGTAAATTATTAACTCATTTTCAATTTTACGGAAATATTCACAAAATGTGAATGTATCTTCGTCAATTTTTAAGCTATTGGGGCCGAGAACCAAGCACTCCGAAAGCTTGGAAAAATACCCAAGCATCATGTGTATCCAGTTTAACATCGAGAGAAACTATCATAGACAAGAGATAATCATAATGTCCGATAGTCGAGCAGCCATCAAAGCGCTGAGCTCTTACGTAATCAGCTTAAAAATGGTCTGGAGATGCCTAGAACAATTGAATGAGCTAAGCGAGAAAAATAGAGTTACTGTCACTTGGGTCCCAGGACATAATGGGTACAGGGTGACGAGATTGCAGATAGTTTCGCCAGGAAAGGGTCTCAAACACCCTTTTTAGAACCTGAGCCGTTCTGCGATATCAGCAGTAACATAATATTAGGAGAGATCAAAAAAGAATTGGGCAGTAGAAGAACCGATAATTGAAACAATCTCTTGGGACTGAGACAGGCCAAGATACTTCTGGGTAAATATAACCAGAAAAGATCGGAAGCCTGCATCTCCCTGAGCAAGAACAGGCTACGTATTATAACAGGGATTCTTACCGGGCATTACCGACTAAAAGGACACTTAAGTAAACTGAGATTAGTAGAGCATAGTAAGTGCAGATTCTGTGGGGAGGAGGACGAAACCTCCATTCACATCCTAACTGAATGTGTAGCATTCCAGAATCCAAGGGCACTATATCTAGGAGGATATTAAATAGAAAAGGGAGATTATTTAATTAAATAGGTAAATTTGTACCGAAATAACTTATATTGCACGCCACTTCAATTATGGTAGTTATTGATTGGTATGTCAGAAAAATATGAATTGTCATATAGATATTATATAATAAAAATTTGAAGATTTCACGAGAATTTTAAATCCACGACACGAAAATACAGTCCACAAGCTTAAACATCACGTATTAAACAGAGATTTACCTAACTTGAAGCTACTTCATATCCTACACTTCCTTGAGAAAATAAAATTGGAAGGATCGTTATAGGCATTGAGATATTTCCATGGTGTATTGGCGACAGAAGGGGGCACAATAGATTTTTTAGGTCGCACTGTATTAATAATAATAATAATAATAAATTTTTATTTACCAATTAGAAATTTACAGTGTGCACATAATTATAACATAAATTCAGCAGTAAATAAAAGAATACTTCACTATAGGCAAGGCCTGTGCGTGAGTATAAAGGAAGGAAAAAATAAATAAATAAATACATGTATAAAGAGGCGCGTAAAATAGTAATGATAAGAATTAAAATTTATTAAGTAAAAAAATTGTGGATTGTTTCTCTCGAAGTTTGAAAAATAAATTGTTTTAAAACTCTCTTAAATTTGTTTAGAGATTTAATTTGTTTAAATGTATATGGAAGCCAGTTATGCATTTTAGGGCCAAGATAGGTATAACACTTTTGTCCGGTACTTTTTTTTGTTTTTGTTAAAACAATATTTTTGTGTTTGTTTCGAGTGCTGTATACGTGGTTGTTGAACTTAAATAATCCCTTGTTTTTTTGTTGATAAATTTTACTAAAGTAAAAGTATAGTTTTCGAATGTCCATTACATTGTTTTCCTTATATAACGTGTCGGTAGGATAGCGAAGTCTTTTTTGAAAATTATTTTAAGTATTCGTTTTTGCACGATTTCCAAATTGCTTAAAATAGTCTTTCCTACGCTTCTCCATGCTAAAATACCGTAAGATAGATGTGATTGTACCAAAGATGTGTATACAATTTTTAATGTTTTGGAATCTAAGATGTTTCTTAAGATTTTAAATTTATGGATGAGAAATTGAATTTTTTTAATTACGAATTGTATGTGTTTATGACATTTTACATTTTGATCTAATATAACTCCTAAGTATTTGAATTCACTTACAGAGTCTATTGTTATTTCATTTGTGACATTGAGTGTGTTAAAAGTAGGCGCTGTTCTAACATCAACATGAATGGGCAAAAATGCAGTTTTGGAGAAGTTAACGGTAAGTAGCTTATGACTAAACCATTTGTTAATATTTTGAAGATCATTTTCAGCTTTTTTTTGAGATCTTCCCAGTTCCTAGCTTCATAGAAAATGCAAGTGTCATCAGCGTAGGCAGTAATATCCCCTTCACTTTCCAACGAAAATAAATTATTTAAATAGATATTGAAAAGTACCGGACCGAGAACTGATCCTTGTGGCACTCCAAAGGTTATTTTTCGGACTTTACTCCACTGATTATCGATTTGGACAAACTTTTGACGATTAGTAAGGTAAGTTTTGAAAAGGTTTAGTAGGTCACCTCTAACACCAACTTCTTCCAGAGAATTTATCAACAAGGTATGACTGACCGTGTCAAAAGCCTTGGACAGATCAATAAAGACACACAATGCTTTGTTATTTCTATCCATAGCCGAGTACATATTTGAGGTTAGATGAAGTATTGCATCCTGTGTTGATATGCCTGTGCGGAATCCGTATTGTTTTGAGGCAAGCGTGTTATTTTTATCAAGGTACGAACAGAGTCGGTTTTTTAATAATTTTTCAAATATCTTAGCAAAAGTTGTTATTAGAGAAATTGGCCTATAATTAATGACATTTGAGGAATCGCCGGATTTAAAGATAGGAGTTACAACAGACGTCTTAAACGCAGTAGAAAAGTACCCACTTTCGATACATCTATTTATTAAATATGAGAAAGGATCCGATATAAATGGTGCTATACATTTGATGACTTCCCCGGAAATACCATCCTCACCTGGCGATTTTTTGTTCTTCAGATCATTTATAATTTTTTTAATTTCTAATGTAGTTGTCGGTCTAAGAAATAAAGAATTTGAATGTGGCTGTGTAAATCTATCTTTTGGTTTTAAATAATTTGGATTGGGTGTTATTTTATCCGCTAATTTTTTACCAACACTAACATAATGTTCATTGAAGATAGTTGCTATTGATTGTTGATCAGTTACAATTTGTTGTTTATTTTTTATTTGTTTAATATTGTTTTTAGATTTTTTTGTTTTGGATGTCAGATCTGCAATTGTTTGCCAGATAGCTTTACTAGAATTTGAGCCTTCTAATATTTTTGTTTTGTAGTAATTATCTTTAGATATTTTAATTAATAGATTTAAGTTATTCCTATATTGTAAATATCTATTTCTTAGATTATTAACACCGTATTCCCAATATAACATAACATGCTTGTTGAAAAAGTGTGTTCTGACTTCCACGCAACAAGCAGTAGAAAAGGACCGAAAACAAAAACAAAACTAGAACAAAAATTAGTCCATTTGATGGAAACGAATTTTGGGTTTGTTTCAGTTTTGTTTATGTTTTATAAGTTCCAAAAAACACAAAACAAACTCAACAGTGCGTTTGGTGGAAAACCATCTTATAATAACTCAAAAACAAAAACTAAAGTTAAAATATATCACTCTAGTAAACTATTTTTATTAAGAATTTGTCTACAAAAGCGGCTATTAAGTAAGTGCGACCGCAAAGTAAATGCGGTCAAAAAAGTTAACAAATACGTAAAATGTAATTTTTTATGACAGCCTAAAAAATGTATACATTGCTTCATTTTATTTTTTTGGCTATTTTTTGTCCTAAGTATAAACTAACGAAAAATACACCTAAAGTTAATAATAAAATTAACAAAATTTTATCTAAAACAACTCGTCACATTTGTTTGTATATATTTTTTATTTGTGTATTTACTATCCGGTATAATAAAAATATGTATTTAAAAGAAATATTACTAACCTTAAATGCAGCAACCAACCAGCACAACTATTCCAATGCACAAACTCTCACTTTTTAATAATAAATTTCACAACACAAAACGTTATAACTATTTCACTATTAAAAAATAGATTAACCGCCAAAAAAAAATAAATTGTTAATTCAACAAGCCGATGATGAATAATGATTTTGAATTCCAACAGATAAATAAATTCGAATTCATTCGCACAACTTTTTTTTGTATTCGGCGCCTCAGCCAATGATTTCAATGGTCAACCGCAAAGTAAACGAAGAGACCAATCGAATCTACTAGGCCAGCTTAGCATAGCGTTCCGCTAAAGGAGTCCGTAACAATCGATGGCATGTGGTGTTTGATACGACGTTGACCCCTTGAGGTAAAGGGATTTTCGAATTGTATGACATGGTGGTAGCGACTTTCGACCCCTTCGCTAGTGCCCTGCGGTTTCTAAGGCGTTAATTGTGGAGGTGACTCAGGTGGGAAAAATTATAGGGTGATTTGTCGAATATGCAGAGATATCAACCACAATAAATCTTTTTGTTTTAATACAATCATTGGCCGATTTAAATACTTTGTACTTGGAGGCAAAACGAGATACATATCAAATTGATAAATGAATCTAAAATAGTAGTTTGTGTAACAAGAGTGAATATGATGCATATATTGCACGAAGACGAATTTTGAGCACGACGCCGTAGGCGGAATGCTCATTCATCTGACAGCGATACGGACAATCCACTCGAGTTGTACAGTATATTTTTTCTACGTCCCACTAACTATAATCCAAAAATTTTAAAAATTATTTTAGATTATTAAGGTAAAATGTTATTAAAAAATAATTTACGATTACGACTTTTAATAATTTATATATTAAAATAAACTTAAAAAGGTTTTAATATTAGTCTCCAATCCTAGAATTGAACCCGGGACTTCTGCATGAAAGGCAAATGACCTAGGCACTGCGCCATCGCCACACATAATATTTTAGTTTAAATACTTGTAATTAACTTGATTTTATATAGTTTTATTGAAATTTATGGTTTATTTGTTAATATAGACGAAATTATAATATAATTGCTATTATTTATTGATTCTACAAAATAAAAAATGAAATATCTTTATTAAAGTAAGTAACCCTAATATAAAAATAATTTTTTTTAAGTGCTACGGAAAAAAACAATTAAATTTAAAATACAAAATACAACATAGTTATTTGTTTAACTAGGCAGAGAAGTAACAGATTTACTGCCGCGGCTAGCATTTCATTTCCGAGGCGAAGCCGATGCAATGAAACTAGCCAAGGCAGTGAATCTGATTCTCTGCCGTGCAAAACATATAATTTTTTCTCCGATTGTTTGTACAGTGTGATTAAAAAAATTAAATTAATCAAATTTTATTTTAGGTTGCTTTAATTTTTGGCATAGCGGGAGCATGTAGAAGTGATGAGCTATACCGAATGGAAAAAGCTCAAATTGGAGTTATGACACGAAGACAAAAAAATTACGTTCATTTATTGTAGTGGAACATTTAAACTTCTACAGAAAATATGAAGATTGTAGACCATAAGGCTGGCTACCTATTTTTTTTTAAATACAATAATGGTAACAACCGCTTGGTATCCATAAATTTGGAAAAATGCCAGAAGAAATTGCAAAATTTTTAAAATTACCGAACCCACAAGAATTTACTGGGCATTGTTTTCGCAGAAGTTCTGCAACATTGTTGGTAGACTCTGGGGCAGATATAACCACGTTAAAAAGACATGGGGGTTGGAGATCATCAACAATAGCCGAAAGTTATATTGAAGACTCTATAGCTGCAAAAACAAATGTTGGTGAAAGACTTTTTTCAGATCCCAAAGAACAAAATATCGTCGGTTGTAGCACTAGTTCACAAATAAATAAAAATAATTATACTATGATTACAAAAGACAAAACGGATTATCAAGCCAGTGGAGCAATGTCGGAAAATTACTATAAATATTCACAATAATCATTAATATGTATTATATGTAGAAATTCGTCTATTTACTCTTTTGTTATGTTCTGTGTTATATTCTGTTTTGATTTAATTATGAATGTTACAGTTAAAATTATAATAAAATTCTGAATTTTGTCTTTCTTTTTATTACTATATATTTATTTTGAACCAGTAAAAGTCATCGCTAATAACGCGACAATTATCGTTATTTTTTAACTTATTTTTAACCGGTCCAGAATGTCCCTAATATAGTTAATTTATTATACACTGACTAAATTTACTAGAGTAAGTTTTTTGGTCGGATACTTAAAAAAAAAAGAAAAAAAAATATGGCATTAAAAATCATTTTTACTGCCTAGACAGTAAAAGTGTTACTTCTATGATCAATAAATGTCTCGAAAACTGACGTTTAATGTCAATCGGAGAAAAAATACATTTTATGACTGAACAAAACAGAAAAAACAATTTAAAGTCCAAAATATAAAAAAATATAAAAGTTCAAAATATTAAAGTGTAAAATATAAAATACAAAATATACAGAAATATACAGTGTGTTGCAATAAAAAGTATTCACCCTTTTTTTTTGTTTCCTCAGATTTAAAGAAGAAATACTCGGACACGTAGATTTTTGTTTGGAGGGGGGCACATTTTTTCCTAATTGCATCATTGACACTTCAACCCTCAAGCAGTGGGGTGAACAACCCCTAGAATTTAGATAGGGAAAGTACTAAGTGTGGTACATTTTTGAAAAGGTAATTTAATAAAAAATTCAGTAATGCTAATATTGTTGCGTCAAATTTGATATTAGCGCCCTCTTAAGGGTGAAAACTATGCACCTAGAACTTAGATTATACAAACCTTAGATGGAACATAAGACACTGCGCATAATCCCATTTCAAAATGATTCACACCCACCAATCACAGTTGAGAACATTACATGTCAGACCGTTGTCCATCCAAATTTAAAGTGTCAACGAGAATTAATTTGGTATTTTAGTGACTTAAATTTTGGAAATTAACGTTGAAAATGCCAAGATGTGTTGTAAAAAGCTTTATTTATAATAAACCTGCGAAATGTGACGGAGATAAAAGAAACTTATATTTATTTCGGTGAGATATTTAATTTTTAAAGATTCTGTCGACGTCCATATTTGTTGATTTGAAAATAAACAGAATCGGACTTGGTCATTGGTACATGTTATAAAGTAGCAAATAAAGGTTATTATTATAAACTGTTTACTATTTCTTGTTTCATAGGGAATCTTTTTTTAGGAAGTGAAAAGAGAAACATACAATCAAATACAAAAATATCAATTTCATTGCCAATTTATTCGTTTCAAACTTCACAACTGGTTTCAATAGTTTTCTCAAAACTATTTATTTAGTAATTCTCTATAATAGTGTTACTCTAAGTGTAAAGCCAAAGTTTCCGCGAAGAAAATAATCACAATAAAAAAAAACAGTACTATCGCCACAAAATGGAGGGACCTGGCTTGAGGACCGTTTTTTGGGAAGTAATTTTTTTAAGTCACTAACAGGAAGGAGGATATGATTTTGCTTTAGGACTTTTTTTATTTAATTTTTTATGGGTGAAATAGATTTGGGATAATTTTTGCAAGGAATCTTTGGAATAAATCAAAAATAAATGATGCTCTTGTGCATTTTCAGCCGATTAAATTATTCGTAGATGCATCAAATGTGGGAATAAGGGCAATGATATGTCATGTTTTTGAAAAAAAAAAAAAAATATTGAGAAATCTATAGTTTCTGCTTCGCGTACCTTATTAAAGTCCGAACAAAAATATTCCCAAATTGAAAGACAGATCCTTGCAATAATTTTTGGCTTAAATAAATTTAATGAATATTTATATGGACATTTGCATAAAGTGGAACATTATGTGCAACTGATTACGAAAAGTTGATTATGTCACCAGTTACGAAATGAAAATAAATAAAACAGCCTCTTTTTTGGTTTCTAAGTTGAAAAATCGTAAAATCGAGAAATTGAGATACCGAGAAATCGAAAAATCGAGAAATCGAGTAATCGAAAAATCAAAATAAAAAATTGAAAAATCCAAAAATCCAAAAATCCAAAAAACGAAAAATCGAAAAAACCAAATATCGAAAAAGAAAATGAATAGTGACATTTCACATTTGAAAATATGACATTACGTTTAAAAACAAAAAAAGAGAAGCTGTAAATTGCGTTTAATTTTTAAAATAACACCGTTATTGAAAACTGCCCAGAAATGTTGGGGGTAAAATTTTGACGAACTTCTTTAAGGATAATGGGTAAAAATGTTTTTTTTTTCAAATTTCTCGCGAGTAATGTCAAAAATTAGATCGGCAAAACTGCACATGTCCCTTATTTTTATTATTACTATTGAAAAAAAAAAAAAAACGTCGTAGGGCAATCAAATACAACAATTTTCTAAAATATTTGATTGAAAGTACCTACACAAGAATGATGGTGAATCATTTTTCAACACAATTTTATAAATAATCACGTTAAAATTAGAAAAAATCTTGTATATAAACACGTTACGAAATGCCGTTTTGTGTAAGTCGTTCATGTTGCGGGAACTCGCTCCGCTCGTTTTGCAAATATTTACTCGTTACACAAAATTAGGCATTTCGTAACTGGTTACATAAATAACTATTAATTGACTTTCTAATATTTTAATTCATTGGACGGTATTTTCCGTAAATAATTAAATCATAAATAATTACCAGGATATAAGTACCAAAACATTTTTTTTCTCTTAGAACAGTAGGCCCATGTCAAATAAACTTAAAATATTATAACGAACGAAAAGGTAACCCATTTCTAATAAAATTTAGTTATTTATTTTATTTTGGTGTGATCGTAGAAAAAATCTTGTGTGTAATTCCAGCAAAAAGTACTTATAAACTTTTACTTAGGGTCGATTTCACCGTTTTATTAAACGAAGTTTAAAATACTAAACGAAGATTAAAATGACATTTTTATATTAACAAAAATGAAGTTTAAATTACTAAATGGAGTTTAAAATGACATTTTTATATTAACAATGTCATTTTAATCTTCGTTTAATAATTTAAACTTCGTTTGACACAAAGGTGGAATCGGCCCTTAGCTAGTTATATATTGCTAAAGTGTTATTGCCCTCATAATACATGAATCGTGCTAACAAATAAAGTCAAACAAACGTCTCATAATTTTTCATCTTTTAATTACCCACCAAAATTAGGTACTACAATACAAATATTTAAGTCCGGCCCAGAACACCTCCCTACTCCTTCCACCCAGTTTTTCGGTTTTGGCAAAATTCGCGCAGCGAGAAATGCTTCCTATGTTACCTCTACCCTTTCTAACCTCTTTGACCTAGAAGCAGAAATGCTTG